CTCTCTCTCTCTCTCTCTCTCTCTCTCTCTCTCTCTCTCTCTCTCTCTCTCTCTCTCTCTCTCACACACACACACACACACACACACACACATGTGAGCAAACACCCACGTGAATGCAAACCACGCATATGCATGTGTGCAAACACTCACACACACACATGCACACACGCACACACATGTGTGCAAACACACACATGCGAGGTAACACACACACGCGCACAGGCACCTGCACGTGTGCACACAGACATGTGCATGCATGTGCGTGCGCACACACAGTCATGCTTTTTTTAAGCGTATAGCGAACACACACACACACACACACACACACATGAATGTCACATTCGTAGTAGATGCATGGTCCACACTGAGTTAAGACGGTGAATGTCTTCAACAAGCATCCTTCCTACAGAACGAGAGGAAGCACTTCATAGACTGCCGATCTACATGCAGTTGATGAACTGCTGGAAATCCAAAGAAGGGCCAGAAAGCATGAAAGAGGAACTACGACGAAACGCAGAAAAAAGACGGACACCGGGATGCACTTTTGGACTTTCCTGAGTTTCCTGGGTTCCTTACCTCACTCTGCGTGTCTAAAACTGTGAAGATGTGTTTCGGCACTGTGAAGATGCTCAAGCGGCAACAAATGGATAATACAACATCCAATTGGAAGAAAATCAATACTGCCTTTCACTCATGTTCTCCAGTCACTGAATGGCAGCAGTTTTTTTATTTTCTTTGCAAGCTCCTAGGTCTGAAAAAGCGCCATGTTTTCTGAAAGTGCCTATTGGCAGTCGTAGGCATCTATGAATATACCTTCGCTCACATTTTCCCCTTGCAAAGGACAACAGATGACTGCATCAGGAAGCTAATTGTCTTCCTGCACAACATAAGAGCGCGATTTCCTCTCGTAAGTTCGTCGGAACTTCTCATCGACTCCCGTGAGACGGTACACCCCCTCGCGGATCTGATCGAGCGGTGAGGATGGCACGAAATCGCACGCTCCATACCGTGTCTCCATCACCTCCATTGTTTTGCTGAACTCCTCAGGGCTGACAATGTTACGCGATTCCAGAAGATGATTCACACCCATCACATCGGCAAGGTGGCGCAAATCGAACCGACTTTGTACCGACGGATCTCGCGTCTCGAGGAAGAACATGGAGGAGGCTAGACCGCTCCCATACGAGAACATGAGGATTCTTTTCCCAGTTAATTTCTCCCTCTGGGAATGCAGCAATGACGCCAATCCTGCATAGAGGGAGGCGCAGTACATGTTGCCGACCTGCTTTGGGATAAGCGCAGAAGGATGGACCTTGGACGCATACTGTTCCTTCGAGATTGTCATCAATGTCTTCTCCAAGTCGCGGTTCGTGTAACTCTCCGCCACTGGGATGCCAGCGTAGGCATGAAGGGGTTTCACGTCAACTATAGTCGCTCCATGGTTTAGGAAGTCATTGTAAAGCAACCTGGCAAAGCTCTTCTGCACAAGCTTGTTGTATGGAGAATGGAAGACAGCAAAGTCAACATCTGAAAGCGAAAGCTTTCGCTGCCATTGCTTTTCGAACTTTTGGCCAATAAGATTGTAGCAGGCATCGAGCGCCCTCAGGAAACAGATCTGTGTCAGTTTTCCATCCACAACAGGATATTCGCTGGCGAGTTTCGGCTTATAGAAGTCGTAGGTATGGGCCATATAAGTTGCAACGCAGGTCCGGTTCATGGCGAGTGGAGCATCCGGACCGATGAGCATGGCGACGGCGCCTGCACCGCCGGTAGGTCTCGCCGGTCCTTCCGCATAGACAGCGCTATCAGAAGCCACAACGATAGCATATCTTCCATCCCAAGAGCTGCTCTCCACCCAATTCATAGCGTTTAAGAGGGCGGCGGTTCCGCCATAGCAAGCGTTTGTCGAGTCGACTCCTTCTATGTCGCTGTTTCCACTCTTCTGAAACAGGAGCATCAAACAAGACTTAATTGACTTGCTCTTGTCAATAACTGTTTCGCTGCCAACTTCGATCCGCCCCACATTCGTCGGGTCGATCGAATATTTCTCAAGCAAGTTTTGTACCACCGTAAGCGACATCGAGATGACATCTTCGTGGTCTGTGCAGAAGCCGAGCCGGTCTTGGCCTAAGCCAATTGTGTACTTCCCAGCGCTGGCCTTATCGAACACCTCAAGCTCCGACTGCAGCACACAGTTGCAAGGGAAATAGACCTCAATCGCAAGGATGCCGACATTCTGCGGCCGCGTCTTCATCGTGCACCAATGCCTCCTGCAACTTTCTTGTCAGACGGACACAGCACCGCTGCACGCAAAGAAGATGATGCCAACATGAATCCGCAAGTTTCGGCCACTTTTTTCTGTTATTCATAACAAACAAAATCAATTGCCATTGACCCATTACTTTTGGACTAAATCTTCTTTCACTTTTTTGTTCCTTCCTTTCAACTCCTCTTTGCTAACACACAAGAAGCCCAAGACCAAATTGCTAGGAATCAAACCTATGACCTGCTTGGACTAAATCTTCTTTCACTTTTTTGTTCCTTCCTTTCAACTCCTCTTTGCTAACACACAAGAAGCCCAAGACCAAATCGCTAGGAATCAAACCTATGACCTGCTACTCAAGAGGTGGATCGCTTAACCAATAGGCAAAGCAAGCTGGGATGATAGTCTAACACCTTGTGGGAAATTTCACCCCACACCAGCATGGCTATTCCCTGAAGCGAACAAAGAGCACCAGCATGGCAATTCCCTGAAGCGAACAAAGAGATGGTAGTCCGCTGTTTCCTCACACCTGATGGCTCGTATCTTTGTTAGGTCGCCCTGCGGGCGTCTTGCGGTTTTCGATGTTAACCACCAGTACTTGGCCCATACGTCGGCCGCGGCCGTTTCCCGTTAACGTGCCGTGACCTGCCGCGGCCGTTTCCCGTTAACGTGCCGCGACCACAATGGCTGGAGGCACCAGCCAAAAGAAAAGAGAAGCGTCGAGGTGGCGGTTCGGCAAAACTTGGCGCACAGCGCATTGCGAGGCTCGATAGCTGGGCCAAGTACTGGTGGTTTAAGTAACCTGCCCTCGGTATGTGCAGTCAGAATTATGCCAGTCCTTCCACCTGAGACCGTGTCATTAAGCTCAGCCACCTTGCCTTTTCCAGCCAAACTCTCCTCAATCTGGCAATGACTTACTTCTGCGTGTCTGGATTATTTTGTATCCGGAGCTTGACCTTTCACCATGGGCATAGGACTTCTGCCTCTATTAGTGCCTTCGTGGACCCCCACACTCTGTCACGTAGAATGCCTTGACACACTATACATTCCTCCAAGCGCTTTTGTACAAATTCCTTCGTTCCAGGCTAGTCAAACTACTGCAACAAACTTCCGTAAGTCTTCTTCTGGAAGCCGAGATGTCCACTCCTACTATGTGTCATATTCAAAAAGTGGGTTTGGAGAGGCGCATGATCAAGAACACGCAATTTGTCAAACTTCCCGGGCACACCAAACAGTTAAACCCTCACACTCCCAATCTTTAGGCAGACTGCTCGAATCAGCCTTCATCTGCTCAAGGATTTGGCAGGTTGTAGGAGCGCAGAAGGCAAGTCATATACTAAGGGTGGGAGGACAGAGCATCTGCAACACGATTATAATAGACCTTATGCTTGAATTCCAAACCATGGATGTCAATCCCATGCAACCAGTGAGACAAAGTCATAGATTGGTTAGTCTGAGACTTAATCCATTGCAAGGTCTCATAAAAGGGCCTTTACCCGATATAGGCCTCAGGCCTTGTAAAAATAGAGCAGCATGGGCCTTGTAAAAGTAAAGCATTGTGAAAAGGTATCTTGCCGGGGCTCAGAAACGTGAAAACAGGTCAAAAGTCAAGTTCTCTATCAACAGGCACATCTAAATCTAAGGCAAAGGGCATTGTCAAAAGACTTACCTGTTCACCAGGAGATGTGCATGTCATGTCTGTTCGAGTAAGGGTGTGTCTGTACGTGTAGGCAGTGTACCTGTTCGTGCAACGGAAAGTGCCTGTTCAAGTAGTAAATGTGTCTGTTCGTTTAGAGTTGTGCCTGTCCGAAAGTGAAGTCAGTAGGCACAGTCCCAGTTCTGGTCTAAGTCAAGGGATCAGTCCAGATCCAGACTTTCAAGTCCAAATCCAGGCCGAAGTGCCTCAGCAGCAGTTGAATCTCATTGGGACTGTACTGGGACACATGCAATGCAGGGTCTGGGACAAAGGGAGAGGCTGAATTGAGCCAATGCAGACCCAGCGAGGAGTGGCCAGCACTATAAAAAGAGCTGCCTGCCTCATTCCTCGCCAGATCTCCACTGGCTGCAATGCGTGGAAGTGCTGGTGCACTTGTGCGCTGAGTCAGGAGGAGCAGCGCTAGAGGAGAAGACGCGCTGGAGGGAGGAAGA